AATGGTATCGGAGCATCTCTAGTGAAAATGGAGATATTTCTTATCACATCCGGTGGGGTCTGCAGTGGTGAAGGGAAATCTCCCCAATGGAACATAGATGACAACACAATAACCTGGCAGGTGTTTTATGTATCATCTTCTCTATCCAAAATTGAAAAGTGTTGGCTTTAGATATACTTTAACAAGTAAAGCTGCAGAATTGCACTCACATCTAAAGTCACTGAAAATTAATGTAAACATAGAAATATATTGATCATACATTATTGGTTTGGAACAACGTTTTGGGGCTGTTTTTTGGAAAATGTTAACTGCACATCTAAAATCAAAATAAAATGTTTGCTTTAGGAAGTATTTTATCAATATAGTTTTGCTGCAGTACGTTTGAGACAGATTGAAACAAAATAAGCTAAATGCAATTTTCAAAAGTGGCCATGCAGTTGACTTAACTTGAAGCATCTATTTCCGATAAATAAAGGTAGAGTTGCATGCTAAACATATGGCAGGCCATGATAAAATTACAGTGACATTTAGCACACAAATGTTTCAACCAATCTGTTTTATTAGTTAATGTGTCCAGGGTCAATTTCACACAAAATGTGTGTCTGAGCAAAATAAAAGTGTGGCTCTATAAGTAAATATTAGATCAAGAGTCATTTTATATCAGGGATATAACACAGCTATGATAGGAGGGCCATAACTGCCATGTTCCCAGAATACCAGTCAACTATATTTTAATCACAGTTGTGCCATGTTGTAGGAGCCAGGGCAATGTCATGAAGATGGACACCTAACTGCAAGCTTGTCTTTGGTCTATTTGAAGTTAATAAATGTAAATAGATAAATAGAATAGAAGGAAAAAGACACATCATTAATATCTTTCTGCTGTTTTGTGTGTAATAAAGCTCTAGTATCAGCCTGTAGCTCAGGTCACAATTAGTAGGCTGCAGAGGAAGATATATGCTTTGTGTGTGGAAGCAGAAGTCTTTATTTATTGGTAGGACATAGCCCCTGCTAATTTAGAGCAGGAGCTAAAAAAGCAGAGCAGAGCAGTGTGGGGGAGGAACGGGACATGTGGGGAGAGACCATGTGCTGGAAACTTCTAGGATGCTTTGGCCGCTGGGGAGCGACAGGGTGCTGTGCTGAAAGCTGCTGGGATGCTTGCGCTGGACAGCTGAGGCTCAGTGGGTGTGTGGCTAGATGTGTGGTTGGGAGCACAGTGGGTGCAGAGTGTCGGCGGGGAGCACAGTTTATGGTGTTGGTGTGGGTATGAGTGACTGAAATTTGGTGTACTGCTGCTATTGCTGGAGAGACACTGGAGCAAAAGCAGTAGCAACAAATTAAAAGATATGTACATGAATGCTAGAAATTGGAGGAGCTTGCTGCTCCAGGAGGACTTTGACTTTGTGGGAATAACAGAAACTTGGCTGAAGAGCTTGCATGATTGGCAGGTGATATGCAAGGGTACAACCTGTTTAGGAGGGAAAGGATTGGTGCGGGGAGGGGTATGTTTGTATGTGAATGGTAGTCTGATTGGAGTCTGAATGGAGCAGAGTGTTTATGGCTAGAACTGCTTACAGGTGTATTTTTTAGACCCCCCAAGGAGACTCAACTTCGTTCACAAATTGAGATGGCTGGGAACCAGGGAAACAGTATTATAATGGGAGACTTCAATTATCCCAACATTGATTGGCCTAATGGAACCACTCACTCACTCAAACAAGGCTTGCCGTTTCCTACATTTATTTCAAGACAATTTCATGGATTAAAAGTCCCAACTAGGATGAATGCTATACCAGATTTAATAATTTCAAATACGTTTCAACAAAGAGCACTGATGATAAGTGGCATTGTTGTAAGACACAATTATTAGCAAGGGCAATGGGCAACAAAAAAAAGAGCTAAACCTGCATGACTGAATCCAACAGTAAAACAACATATGAATGAGAGGAAGGTGACATTTAAAAAAATGATGGAAGGGACAGCGCTTGCATTCCAGAATTACAAGGAATGCAAATAGAGATGTAAAAGTGCAATCAGGGCAGTTAAAATAGAATAGGGAAAAAAAAATATTGCAACAATAATTAAGAAGAACCACAAAAAAATTCTTACAATATACAGTATATAAACAGAAAAAAGGTAGGAAAAGAACAGGTAGGTCCCATAAAAGATGAGCACGGGCAGGTATTAAATTCTTTCTTTTGCTCAGTACATGCTCACAAAAAAAGATGGGTTTAATCGATATGACAAGAATGTGAGTAACTTTGTGCATAAAATATATAGTGGTTGACGCAGGGTTCACACAGACTGGAAAACTTAATGTGAATAAATCCTCAGGACCTGATAACCTGTACTTAAAGAGCTCAGACAAGTTATAGCAAGACCCTTGTTCCTAATTTTCAGGTGCTCCATACTGACCAGAAAGGTACCTTTGATTGGCGTAAAGCAACATAAGTGCTTATATTCAAAAAAAGTTTAGGATGCCTACCTGGGAACTACAAACTGGTCAGTTTAAAATCAATAGTATGCAAATTGTTTGAGGGTATGATAATGGACTGTCTACAAGAATTTGTCTGTGGTAAAGGTAGCATAAGCAACAACCAGCATGGATTTATGAAAGGCCTTTCTTGTCAGACCAACCTACTAACATTCTAGTGGAGGTGAGGAGAAACCTAGATGTGGGGAAGCCAATGGACGTAGTTTTACCTAAGCATTTGATAAGTTACGGCATAAATGCTTAATATATAAGCTGCAATCTATTGGCATTGATGACCTGGTGTGCACATGGATAGAAAATTGGCTACAGGAATATGCTCATAAATGGCTAATTTTCAAATTGGTCTGAGGTAGGGAGGGTCATGCCCCAGGGTTCTGTGTTAAGCCTAAGACTATTTAACATATTTTTAATGATATTGAGGGAGGGTTTTAACAGCCATATTTCTGTGTTTGCTGAGGATACAAAAAATTGCAGTGTAGTAAACTCGAGATTAGACATAACATTGCAGGAGGACCTGGATAAAACAGGGGAGTAGGCAACTATATGGCAGATGAGGTTTAATATTGAAAAAATGTAAAGTAATGCATTTTGGTAATTTAAATAAGTTCCACTAGGGAAGTCAGTGGTGAGAAAGAGATAAATGACTGCGAGCTTAGCATGCAATGCCAGGCTGCAGCAAACAAAGGTAAAAATAGAAGAAGAAAAAAAGAGAATGTATTCTACAGGCAAAGAGATGATTTTGCCACTTTACAAAGCACTGGTTTGGCCTTATCTTGAGTATGTGGTTCGATTTTGATCACCAATACAAAGAAAGAATGTCCATGAAATGGAGAGAGTCCTGAGAAAAGCAAAAAAACTGAAAATGGGGCTGGATAGTGATATCAGTAATAAACTTTTTACTTTAAACTCACTAAAGAAGACAAGAGGCCACTACCTAAAACTGGAGGAAAAAAGGTTTAACCACAAAGGGAATAGGGGATTATTTTCTGTTAGAGCCCTAAAGTTGTGAAACTCCCTTATACAAGCAGTAGTATCAGCATAGAGTATGGAACCATTCAAGAACCGTTTAGATACTTTTCTTTAGAGAACAAAACATAAGGGGGTACTGGTACTCTTAATGACTAGTACACAGACACTCACACACGCGCATGCAGTACAACATACACGCTCATATAGGTGTAACTCAATGGACCTGTGTCTTTATTCAAGTTTAAAAACTATGTAACTATGTAAAAAGCTTTCAAAACAGCAAAGCTCACTTTTTCTGCTAACTGCAGGGCTGTAGCTCTGACTCAGTAGAGGGGTGTGCCAGATTGCTGACCCTGGGGCTAGTAAAACCAATAAAGTAGTAAGACAGAGGTATATCTTTTTCTCCCCCTTCAAATGTAATTTACAGTTATTAGAAACATTGGGGTTAATTTACTAAAGGTATATAAGTTGTTTGCTTTGCAAGGGAAATTGCATTTTACAGGGGAACTTTCCCTAGCTTGGTGAATGTGACGAAATTCACCCAATTGTGTGCAATAGAAAAAAACTGTATTTTGGCTTTCACGTAATTGGATGATGGAAGTCAGCAGAGATTATCCTCTGCCACTACATTAGGGGACATATCCCCTGCAAAGTGTCAATTCTCTTGCAAAGTGAACAGTCCTTTCAACATTATAAATCAACCCCATTGTTTTTATGTTATCTGAAGTGGAGTTACCAGATTACCAGTAATGTCATTGCCATATGTCAAGGTCAACAATGTCTTTAGCATTGCCATGCCATGCCATGCTATGCCATTAGCTTTCTGGTTACCTGCACTTATACTACTCTGTGATTCTATGGGATAATATATAAAAGAGAAGCAATGCTTTTGCCATAAGGTAACTGGAGCAAACTAACATTTTGGTTACTATTTCAGGTTTTATGAAGGCAGATATTGGGGGGAAAGGAGTCGGCAGACACAAAAATCAAAGCTGCTTGGGCATTGTTTAAAACTTTTGGGGCTAACAAGCTCACCCTTCCTCAACCAAACTGTAGCCCTGCATATTAAATTTTTTTCACATTGATTAAAACAAACTATTAATATTATATTGGATATGTAATGATTTACCCTTGAAATTTGATGTGGGAAGGTGCTTGAGGTGGTCAGGAGAGGATTAGGGGGATGGCTGGATAAAGAGGAACAGATTTTCAATCATCCCTAATGTTAATGTTAAGCCCAGTGATTTCAGAGACTATGCATGAAATAAAATGTAGTCAGCCCTGTACCCCGTCTGCACAAATGTCTCCCTGACTTCTGCATTACCCACTGTGATCACAATGTCTATGGAATCAATTGTAGATACCCCTGTATTTCATTACATATGTATTTCATTTCACATGCATTACATTTTTCATACGTATTACCTTGCTCATATGCTGTCTCTGGCAACAATGTCTGCTTGCCATTTTTTGTTTGTTTTGTATTTGAAACTCTTCTAATAAACTCAGATTGACATAAAATGTAGTCAGATAGTACCTTAGCTCCTAGCTCATTGTACTGTAGTTTTAATGAAGTCAGCCTCTCATCCAGATCTTTTGGATTCTCAGTTTGCTGTTTTTGAACTATTTGACGTCCAGTCTTTATTACTGTTTCCACTTCTGATTTAACTTCACTTAAAATTTTGTACAGTTTCTGTAAAAGAGAAGAGCAAATGTTATTTTAAAGCATCTGGCAAGTTACTAGTAACAAAGAATGCTCTACATTGCATGAAACTGCTGAAGGTTGTACACATGTTTCTTACAACACCTGCTTATCTATGAATGATTGTTAAAAGTAGTTTTGCGAGCAAAAATAAAGTGACCTCCATGCTATTCTATAATGTATGCCCATTTTGCTGCTTTCTCAGTACAACCACAGCTGACTGTAGCCATGTAGCACAGGCAGCTTGTTTTAAACCTATTTCAACTGATTATGTGCATTTATTGTACTATATGCAGTAGAAATGTTCAGTTGAAGGGGTTGCTCTTCAACCCAGGTTTCTCTTCTATTCCTCAAAACATTTTAAAAACTACATCACCACTTTGGAGTTGATTCATTGTTAATTGGTGGATAAAATCTTGATGAAAAACTTCCAATATTACTTTAGGTTGAAGTTATCCCATTGCTGAATGTATTGATATAGTGCAATAGAAAATAAGACGCCAGCAAAATGATACACTTTGCATTTTCAGAGTACAGCTTCACCTGTAGTTGTAGCACTGCTCTACCTGCCATTAGCTCCAGGAAGATGAAGTAGTTTTTACTAGGGAAAATAAAAAAGCAATTTACAAAAATTTGTATAAGGCACAATCTATTTTCAGCAATGGGTACAAACTTTGGTAGTGGTTAGATTTGATTCACCAAAAAGCAAAAAATTGCAAGCAAACATTGCAAATATTGCTTCTTTTTTAAAGGCTGATAAAATAAATCAGATTTCTACATCAACATACTTTAAATCTCCTTGCAATTTGAACAGTGCACTCTACTGAGAGTAATTTGAAAGGTATAAGAACAGAATGTAAAAATACATGTTCAAAATAACAGCTTTCTGGCCAGCTTTGACCAGTGGCACTAATCAAATTGAAAGAGGAAAGGTGCAAATTGTGGCAGTTATTTATGCTACATACAGGAATGTGGGGGTACAATATTAACAGAGCAGATTTTTTTGTTTGATGACTTTCAGATAACACCTTAAAAATTACTAAAACTGTTGAGAGGGGTTTTGTATACTAAACAGAATCATATTTACAACATGACACATATTTTAAAGTTTGTCCTTGGTATATGTTCTACATTTAAATATCAATGATAAACATAATGAGAACATACAAATCATGTTAAACAGTTCTATAAAAATCAATTATCTATGGAATATACAAAAAATACAGGATGGAGAATATTACGTTCTGTAAATGTTAAAAAAGTAATTATACTTTGTCAGCTAAACATGTGATTAGTGATGACAATAATGCAAATAGTAGCAGCAATAATAATAACACATCTAAATAATACATCATGTTGAATTACTGTGATATCTGCATTTTTAATGTTGAAGTATAGTATAGTTTATTTAAAGGTTATTTTTCTGAAGGTCACTCATGTAAGATTACATAAAAAATAACATTTACATATTACATTTTACAATGCATTGCAACTAGTATATTTATACTTCAAAGCTATATAACAGTAACGATTTAGCATCAACAAGTAATACAATTTTAATTAAAACTATCTGCACATTTCTACCACTTGGTCTTCAAAACAGAGTGTAAAAAAAGGACATGGTATTTTAAATTCATCTACAGACTAAGTGCTCAGAATCATTTACCCCTGGCTATGCTTATTGGACCCTTTAATGACCTCACAAACAAACAGATTAAATACACATTTGTCGTCTGCTGCATCATTAGGCACAATAATTGAGAAATGTGCTAGTTAAAATCACAAAGTTTCATATTGCAATAGTACATAGACTGCTGCAACTAAGGATTTCAAATAATAACTATACCTATGCAAATAACAAGTGTGCACATATACAATACAAATTAATACCATGGTGAATCAGTGGATTAAGTTAAAAAGGACTTAAAATGCCTTTCAAAACTACAAATGGATAAAACAATCTGTAACAAAAGATGGAGTCTCATCAGGAATAATTTGTATGCTATGAGTAGCATAATCATAGCTACAGACCCTTTACATGTGAAAATACTGGTACTTAGTTATTGGCCCAATCCTGTCACATGGAATAAGTCCTCCATACCTGAAAGTACCTAATATTTTCTTTGCTACTGACATTTGAGGATGCAAAGACTAGCAGAGAATGTGTATAGATGAAGAGTTTGTTATGTAACTTTAAACATAACTCGCTGAAGATGGAATGTAATTATTAGCACCAGTAACAGTACTGATCCCACTACCTATTAATTTATAATAATAATAAAAATATAGTGGACAAAATAAAGTCTTGTTGCCAAATGATTGCAGTGAACTTAGCTTTTAATTTTCATCACAGTAATACCTTAACGTGGCTGCTGACCAAAGAGCAAGAGGTTATATGAAATTGCTACATTATTTACTCATACCTAGGGCAGTCTATTATCTAAATGATCTATTACTCTAAATATTGTTGCTACAGTAACAATTTTGAACAGTATTCATTGTTCATTATTGTATTAAAATGTAACCTACCATACAGTGATCAAGTTGAGTTTGGACAGCATCCTGCTCCACACTATTCATATCCAGAACTGGTAATTCGAAGTACACTTCATCCAAAATTCTTTTAGATTCTATAAGACGCTGCTCAAAATTTGCTGGTTTTTGAAATAATCTAAACTTGGTGGAAACTTCTTGTAACTTTTTCTGGAATATTCCAAAATAGAATATGAAGGATATAAAAACACCATAAAGGGCAAACAAATAGTAAAAACACACGCATTAAACCAGTCACACGTTCCTGTGTTCTATAGAAAAAAAATGATGATCTTAAAATGACATAGTGATAATTTTAGCAAGATATTTGCAAACCAGTCTTACGTTACCATATTTTATTACATAGTGCTATGTCACTTATGACTATGAAGCACATCTTTAAAAGCTCAAGTCAAGTTCAAGTCAATGCTCAAGTGCCATCTTGAAGGGATCATAATCTAGAGGTAACTGAGAAAGCTCAGAAAATCAAATACAGCTCATACCTAAGTGTTTTCCAATACAAATTACGTTCTCAGTCTCTAAATACTGGTTAATTAACTCTTACAGGCCTTCTGATAAATCAACACATTATTATATAGCAATGTGATCCCACAGTTTTTCCATACACCTATCCAGTTAAATGCTATTACCAGAGCTAAAGATGCTGTATGACTGATTCAAGTTTTGCCTATAACATCAGATTCCATGCTTATGAAGCTAGCAAGCTGTAGCAATGGGATTGATTTACTAAAGGCAAATAGGCTGTTCATGTTGTAAGGGAATTCGGACTTGGCAAAGTGAACAGCCTTTTTGCATTTAGCAAATTAACCCCAATGAGTTTGCATATTCTTTCAGTGCTACATTGTATTGCACAACTTAAGACACTTAGTGGTTTCACTTAGTGGTTCTTTTAAGCATATATAACAACTGGCCTTTTCATACAGTATGTTTACTCATGTAAAGCTGCAAGTGCAGTCTCCAGATTTCACATCTTAACTTGAAAATAAAGTAATAATTAGTAAATTGACTGTTAATTGCTCTATTGAAAATCAGGAAGTATCTGTATGTGTGTGTGGAGGCAGGGTAGATTTAAAACAATAAATTTTGAAAAAGCTTAAATCATTATAATGCCATGTAACAGACTTAAAAAGTTGAACTATGTTAAATCATTTTGACCTTTCTGTAGATACAATTATTATACTGCCTCCAACTTTTAATAATAACAAAACCTATTTGCTTACCTGAGCAATTTCAATCTGCAAAATAACTTTTTTAGACATTTCTTTTCCCTGGATTCGTTTTTTCATTTCATCCAAACTAATCTCATGGCTTAATAACTCTGACTGTATTTTCTATTGGAAAAAGAAGAAACATAAGATTAGTGTTAGGTATGTTACATAAAGTATATATTATCTAGATATTATATAACTAAGAAGTAAAACTATTGTAAGTAGGAGGATAACTGGAAAAATATGTTTTGAAGAATTGTATCTAATAAGATTGTCCAAAGCATCCAAAACAATGCAATGCAATGCAAAACAGGTCAAATGCAGCCTTTGAAGTTTATCCACACCACTATATTTAAGTAAATGGAAATCTGTAAAAATTGTGCTTCAAAGGCTTGAAAACAATGTCCATGTACATGGGCCCTTAAATAGCTGAAATAGAAGAGGACTGTCATAAGAAAACAGTAGTAACTCTGTTTTTTTACCAGTGAAGTGTCAGTAACACAGGTCTAAAATTATTTTTAGCCCCATGTGGCTAAAAGTCTCCCTTGAAAGTCTTACAACGCACAGGTGGGTTCACACCTATGTGGCCTAGCCACCATAGGCAACAATTGAAAAACACCCTCCTAATTCTACCTATGTCTTAACCTGATTTGATAAAAGGAACAAGTATAAATCACTATTTTCTATCAAAGAGATACATTATTTGCTGGATATAGGGATATTATTATTAGAATGATGCCATAGCAACATTTGATTTTTCATCTACACATTTACTGCATTATTAAGACTGTATTACCAGTGATACAATTATTCACAATAAAAATACAATCTAGAAAACACTGTAAGGTTGTGTTTAAACCCTAATTAAATAAATCTAAGATGTAAACGGAAAATATGGTTCCCAGGAAACATCAAACATGACACAAAAGAAAACTTCTTACTGAATACATTTACTAGCACATAACATAAAGCTATTCCTTCTAAAATTATAATGTGTGTATATCCTTGCTATCTCAGGTGTGGTGCCTGTTAGTGAATGGAATGTATCTATTCTAAGTTTCTGAATAGTGTTTACACATTATTTAAATCTGATCTAAGTAGCAGTTGAAATCAGAGCTGTTTTGTGACTGTAGATGGCCTGGAGGTATGAAATGTGGTATTATGTATTATGTGTATTATGTTCTAGCCTTTTCAGTTTATGGAGTCTTGTATTCTGAGTCAGTAGCCTCTTCCAAATATAATCACTGCTCGTCAGATGGAAATTAATAAATTTAGTGTGACTTTTAGAATTTGTATTCTCCATATAGTACTAGTCAATCAACCACAATCCCTCTTACAGTACTATCCACTTAATTTGTATGTTATGGATGTATAAGGTGCCAAGACAATGTGCAAAATACACTATCTCACAGCAACGAACCATATTTAAGTTTACTGTAATATTAATTAAAGATGACTTCTGACTGGTTGTTAGAAATTAAACTCCTAATTCTTTGCAGTGCCATATTAAATAAGCGTGTTTGTGACAGTATATGTGTGTGAGCATGTTGTTTATCCAACATGCTAATGTTTATCACAGGGTACCTATAATAATGGTTTGAATCATAGTAACTTTTTCTGAAAATTATCTTTCTGTTTCTAACTTTGATACTTTGAGTTGCTGACCCAGAAAAACAATGTAAATTAAGAGCTTTAACTTGACTCTGAATTCCTGACCTGCATGATTGTCTTGGATAAGGGATTTAGAAGTATTTAACCAGCCAGTCAGTCAGGCAACTAACATTTTCAGAAGGATATTAGATTAAAACCAATAACCATATCATGGTATACACTATAGAGCTTTAACACATTGATTCTGCCCATCGACTCATTGCACTCGACCATTGGAAGTGCTTAGACCAACAAATCTGTTGGTCTAAACTTATTTTTGATTTAGTCCCCTGACGGGTACTGGAATACCACTTTCAATCCCAATGTTTTTTGCAGATCCTGTATCTACCTTCAGCCCCCGTGATCCATGAGATGATTTATCAGTAGACTTTATTAAAGGGCCAGAGCAGCTGATGAAATGCATCATTATGTTGCTGGTTTTTGTTATTTTAGGTGGTTAAAAAACTTACTGCACAAGGTATTTTCCTCTAATTGTTTGAGAACTTGCAGCATAATTATTGCAGAAGGAATGTTCCACCTGCCGACTGAAATTGCACTTAAACCTATAAGCTGTGTGAAATGACAATGAAAGTATTGCTGAGACCGGAATAATTTCTTGTTGGGAATAAAGGGAGATGAAGGGAGCTACAGGGTCCTAAAGGAAGGTGGGGGGTTAAAGTGCTGTGTCCAGGAATGTGCTGAGGATTTACTACATGGGAGACCGATTCATAAACATATTTAGAACCATTTAAATGTTGGTCTAAGCACTTGTTATGAGTGCAATCGCTGATAGACACAATAATAACTAATCTGCAGATAGGAGTAGGAAATAAAAGAAAAGCTTGTGTAATAGACATTTTCAGAAGGAGGTTATCAATGATAACTACCATTTTTTCTCCCAGATCAGGTTCCTATTCATAATCCAAGCTAATGTACATACTTGAGGTAGATAATTGTACTAAATTGTTACATCTATTGCTCTAAAAATGTTGATCATTTATTTTGAAGCTGTGCTACTGATGGAAATGCATGTACTCATTTATAATGGTACACACAAATCTTATCTCATCAGGTATGTAAGATGCTCACTGAGGATAGACACTAAAGATGAGGTTTGGCTTCACGACTACTATTGGTTTTAGCTGAATCCTGTAGGTTGCATTAAAGCTGAACTTCAGCCTTTAATCTTCACTCAATGTGCAGCTTCCTCTTTTGATAAGAATCCAACAACACTCATATCTCTGTACACAATGAGCATCTCACAATATTCAATTGAAGCTGCCAGGGCATAAGATGTTCAGTATTCTCCAGCCAGCCGCTCCCCCCCTCCCCCCAGTATGATTGTCAGAAGCACACCCCTTTCTATTAAAACAGGTCTGTTTGTTAAAGCAGGCCTACCTCAGCCTCTTGTCCCCATTTTGGCTGTCAGAGGCCTATACCTTTCTGAAGTAAATTTGGGCCTAAAACTCCTACCTGTATTCTTTGTCTTCAGTACATTTGGTCATGATATCTCCAATTAAAATTGCCCTGCTACTGGCCAATACATTGCTGTATCCAATGCAGTATCTTATTTTTTGTAGTAAAGCCCCAGCCTGTGCTCTTTGTCTCCAGTAAATTTAGGCCTAGCCATGGTATTTAAAATTGTACTGCTGCTGGCCAGCTTTAGCACAAATGAGGCATCTGTGGTCTTAATTTATGTGGTAAAACAACTGCCTGTTTTACAACAAGATTTGCCCGATAGACTAAAATAGGATTCACCTCTAAGTTGGGGTTCGTTGAACTTTGAACAAGATTCATGGAACCCTTGGCAAATCAGAGACAGATTTAATCATCATTAATTGACAATAAATCCAAGACCTTCAGGGTTACAGGTTTATTTATGTTGTGATATGCACAGTTTACCACTGAACTTCTACAACAAAAAAAGGGTTACTTTCGTATTTCAAACTTTTGGCAAGTAAAGACTAAAAAAATGGAAGCAACAAAACACATGAATTAACCTTGTACCTAGAAAAATCAAGTTTTCAGTATTAAAAATAGAATGTCAAAATGGATGAATCATGCCTGAAGTGATACAGTAAAATTTGTGCAATAATATATTCAATACCTTGGCTGAATTTTACATTTACTATAAATATTCAGTTGACAGTTTAGGTGATTGCAGGTAACATAAGACTGATTTATTAAATCTAAATAACACTGACAATTCGTGCATTTGTGTTAACACAAAAATGTTAGTAAAAAGGAAAAATAACTTTTTTTTATATTTTAGGATATCTTAACCAAGAGGCAGAAACACAGGTTAGGTGCTTGCAAACAAATAGATAATATTCTTGTCTTTGTATAAGATAAATCCAAATGTAATGTCTCTTTTTTGGCCACACAAATATATTAAATTTATTTTAAAAAAAAATCCACAGCAAACACTTTGTCATGATAGAATCAGCAAATTCCCTTGCTCCAGTTTTTTATAAGAAAGTCGCCATGACCAAGATGTTCTGGTATAAAGGATCAGTCTATAAGAAAGAGCCATTTCAGTTATAGCTGGAATAGGAATCTTTTAGCAATTCCATTGTTTTTTTCCCACTATAAAGCATCATACCTTCTGCCATAGCACGGTAGTTGGGTCCTACTACTGCTATTTCAGTAATCAAAAATGCATGAAAAATCCAATAGGCAGAGAAATAGGGTTCTGTACTGGGCCCCATGCTGTTTAACCTTTTCATTAACGATATTGGGGAGGGGGAAAATAGCAATGTTTCAGTGTTTGCTGATGATACCAAAATCGGGAGGGTAATAGACACTGAATCAGACACTATAACATTACATTACAGGAGCACCTGGATAAAATAGGGGAGTGGGCAACTACATGGCAGATGAGGTTTAATGTAGATTAATGTAAAGTTGTGCACTATGGGGTTAAAAATAAGAAAGTGAATTACACACTAATGGGAGCTCCACTGGGGAAGTCCGAAAAGGAAACAGATTTGGGGGTCATTGTAGACCACAGGCTGAATAATAGCTTGTAGTGTCAGGCTGCGGTAAGCAAAGCAAGTAGAGTCCTGTTCTGTATTAAGAGGGGAATGTTTTGCAGGGACAAGTCCATAATTGTGCCACTTTATAGATCGCTGGTTCGGCCTCATCTGGAGTATGCGGTCCAGTTTTTGGCACCAGTGAACAGAAAGGATATCCTTGAACTGGAAAGAGTCCAGAGGAGGGCGACCAAACTCATAAAGGGGATGGAGGACCTGAGCTATGAGAACAGGCTACTGAATTTAAATATGTTCTCATTGGAAGTAAGGAGATTAAGGGGGGACATGATTTTCATGTACAAAATGTCTACCGGGGATAGTAACATTAGCAGCAAACTCTTTACAATTAAAGGAGAACTATGGGGTTAAGGCTTTTCCCCATAGTTCTCCTTAGGGTAACGGGAGGACACAAACTAGCGTCCTCCCATCACCCTAGGATCA